ACCTCTTGCCTTGTGATAAGAATTAATTTTGGTAGCAGTGGAAAGGTGTGACACCGAGAAAGGTGAATTAAATGCCACTCATTTGTGCGGTATGGGATGCAGATGAGAAAGAGGGGGATTATTCCACGGCCGTTGAGTGTACGATTTGCACATACCAGTGGAGACAAATGCAACATCTGTGTGGTTCCATGCGTGTCTCGTACGTCATGCTTTTGGGTAAACCCGCGCGACATCACCGCTTCCGCTCGTGCTGAGGGGGAACTGACCAACACCACCAAGAGCTTGAAGTAAAAACAAAAATGAAACCTAAGACGTGCTCATTGAAATGACATAGGCTAGCAGAACGTTTTCTTGGAAAGGCATTGTTTTCAAAGGAGTTGTAGAAGCATCACAAAGCGAGATTGGGCTGCTTTGATGGTCGAATGGATAGATCCACTGTCCCGATCCATGGGCTAGTTTATGTTGTATGAGCAGGTTGAATAGTGGAAAAGGACCGTCAAGATACGTAGAGGCAAGCCGTGGGGTTACCATCAAAAGAAATGATCCCCGAGCAACCATCGTAAGGTGAGAGATGCGACTTTAAATCCAACCACATTCCAAGTTGTTGTGATAAATTGCTCAACTGAAACTCTCTGAGGTATCAGAATGACGTTTCCGGGTTGCTAAAAACCACAGTTTGGGGGTAAATACATCAGATCATTCAAGTGTCTTCTTCTCGCCCAAGACAAAATGATTAAAATCAAGCCGACTCTTTACAGGGTTGTTAAATGAAATCCATTTGATGAATATCGGACTAGAAGGTCAATTAGAATTTCCTTTCGCGGTTGGGTTAGCAAAGAGGAGGCGCAGAAAAGGGGAAAATTCCGCTATGGATAATTTCCTATTCAAAGAGGAGTCTATTTTACTTGATAACTTAGAAAATCAGGGCGATTTGTTCGATAAAACTGTGAGGGATATTGCTATTAAGACTGATAAAATTAATGGGGTATTAATGGAGCAGCCCATGAGTAATTGAGGAAGGATGTGAAGGTATTGTAGACAGGTGGACTGTTAACGAATTTAGTGTCAACTCTTGAACCAGTGGATCCAGAGCGCTGTTGAGTTCACTACCACCATGATTGGTCAGGAGGGCTACCAGCC